TTCGCACTAGCCGGCTTTTAAAAATGGCGGCGCCGGCTTTATGCTAATGCAGCCCGGGAAATTCAAATCCCGGGCTTCCTTGGCAAGTTCGGTATGCATACATTACCCCCCTAGTTCGAACTAGGGGGGTAGCGTAGACATACCCTCAGAGTTTAGGACAATCTACTTTCTAGGTGGTACTCAGCATCAAACATCATCCACTGTTTTCAAATTGATTGTATCTTCAAATACCTCTCAAAACTATTCCTTTAACGAGCCTGGATTTGGCATGTTCTTTCTACTGACACTCTTCTCCCTGGATTTTTTTTGCTCTGGCGATGGACTTAAAACAGACACCTAGACAATACATTATGCATTGAAAACTGAACCTTAAAAGTAGGAGGATGTTACAGTGTGAAAAGGAATATCTTAAAAACATCACTGCTCGATTGTAATGTAGAAAACATCATGTTAAGAGGCCAGTTTGGAGGAATGTGAGAAGGGCTAAAAGTTCACGGTGCACATTCATTAGTCATACTGGTCCTTCAGTTATTCCCTCTAGAGGCAGGCCAGTCGCATTATCAGCTGTAGGTCTCTCTTCTTTCTTTGTTGAGGTCTGAACTAGGAGGCTGACATAAGGTTTATGGCAAGCCATGTTACCCAAAGGCGGGTAGTGCTGTCTGTAGCAAATATAAGCGAAAATTAGGCCAATGATTCCTCCGACAAAAGCATCTAGGTAGGAAAAGCAACAAAAAATAGTTAGTATTGAAATAGTAGCCAGTATTGATGGGAGTTCATGGGAAAATTAAAGCCTGCCTATAAAAAGATGCAAAAGATTTCCCTGGGTAGGAGCACTCAGCATCCTTTAATCTGCTCCTGGATTTATCCTCATACAGAGCACTCACAATGGAGGCCCACAAGAAACTGTGTGGGTTGCTGCCCAGCAGATGGCATCCTTATCCAGGGGCAGGTGGCTTGAGTCCCTGTGAGGAAATCTTTAAAAGTATTCATAGAAGCATAGAGCACTAGAACTAGAAGTGACCATGGGAGGTCATCAAGTCCAGTCCCCTGCGCTCATGGCAGGACCAAGCACCCTCTAGACCAGGGCTACTCAATTTTGAAAGCCCTGGGGGACACATTGATACTCACAGCACATGCCAAAGGCTACAACTTAAGTGTGGTTTCATATACATGGAAATATATATGCAAATAGCTTCTTTCACACTGTCAGGCACAAATACAAAGATTAAGCGTTAAGCCGTGGCGCCGACCCCAAACATGGCCAGTGTAAGCCAGTCAGCACCTCTCAGACTCTGACCACAGGACGAAGTAGCCAGCACTTCCCACAATGCCCTGTCACTTCTGGCGCCTCCTCCCTGGGGTGCTAAAAATGCTAACACCCTGTACCCCTCTGTTCCAGCCAGCCCATCCACTAGCATCTTTCAATGCTCACCCCATCTGGGAGACACCTCTCCATTGTGGAGTGTGTTCCCAGCGGAGGCCATGTTCAAAGGATCCAACCCACAGGCCATGTGTTGAGCCCCGTGTAAACCCAAACTGTACTGCGAGCCACAAACAAATGGACTGTGGGCCGCATGTGGCCCGTGGGTCACGTGTTGTGTAAACCATCTCTGGTAGGTGTTTGTCTAACCTGATTTTAAAAATCTCCAGTGATGGAGATTCCACAACGTCCCTAGGTAATTTATTCCAGCACTTAACCACCTTCACAGTGAGGAAGATTTTTCTAATGTTCAACCTAAACCACCCATGCTGCAATTTAAGCCCATTGCTTTTTGTCCTATAATCTGATATTAAGGAGAACAATTTTTCTCCCTCCTCCATATATAACACCCGTTAGGTACTTGAAAGCTGTTATCATGTCCCCTCAATCTTTCTTCTCTTTTCCAGACTGAACAAACCCAGTTCTTTCAATCTTCTCTCATAAAGCCTGTTTTCTAGACATTTGATCATTTTTGTTGCTCTCCTCTGAACTTTCTCCAATTTCTCCACATTGTTCTTGAAATGGATGCCCAGAAATGGACACAATATTCCAGTTGAGGCCTAATCAGTACAACAGAGCAGAAGAATTACCTTCTGTGTCTTTCGTTAAACACTTCTACTTATACATCCCAGAATGGTGTTTCCTTTTTTGGCAACAGTGTCATACTGTTGATTCATATTTCGCTTGTGGTCCACTATGTCCCCAGATCCCTTTCTGAAGTATTCCTTCCTATATAATCGTTACCCATTTTGTATGTATGCAACTGATTGTTCCTTTCTAAATGGAGTACTTTGTATTTGTCCTTATTGAATTACATCCCATTTACCTCAGACTATATTCTCTTTGTGCACTGAAAATTATGAGGGCTGTGGCTGGGATGAGATGGAGTCACTAAATGCACATATGGCTTTAATAGTGATAGAAATGGCTTTAAGAGTTTCTCTTTGACCACCACCTGCCATCTATAACTGTATACCCATTTGAGGTTTGCACAGAGCACCCCCTCTTAGCCTCTCCTCCTGTGTCCATCAGCCACTCAGCAACTTGCACTATTGGGCCCTAACAATAATTTGCACCATTAATATCTTTTAGCCATTATATTCTAAATTGGGGGAGGGAAATATTCTTAAAGTTGCTAAGCTATATGGATACTGTAGCCACAAAATAGTTTTTATTGTAGCCACAGCAGTGGCATTTTTATATTTTTAAAACAACACATTCATCTGAAAACTAATACAATTATCTGGAAAGACAAACCCTTCATTAAACAGTTTGGCTTTTTGGTCTTTTCTTCCTGCTTCTGCCAGACATCACTCCCCTCTCCACGCCTGCAGTGATGCTTGGCAACAAAACCACTTTGAAGTCCTGAACACACCTGCAGGTATTAGGAAGGCACTAGCATGCCTGGGTTTGAAAGGAGAGTGATCATTAAAGTTTCTTCTCCCTGTAGCTTTCCTCTCCTGGGTGCCATCACTACAATGAACAAGATAACAGACTTCTTTGCAACACAACGGGATTTGCTTCCTAGGTTTTTTTTGTGGAACCGTTATTCTCTGTCTGAGAGAACAACAGTCTCTCATGTGCAAAATGCTTTCGCTGTTTGTCAAGGTATTTACTACATGCCCCTTAATACTAAATTTTCTTTGGGAAATTATTTATTTTCAAGTGAAGGGAAAATTCCCTCTAAATACACATAGGCTTGGAAAGGCCCCATATTTTCAAATGTAAACCACAGTGAAAGACACTGATTATTAAATGACATCACATGTTTAATATTGTTCAGGAACTTTAGCCTGATCAAAAAGGGGCCTAACAGATTTCTTTTGCACTTTCTTAAAGGAAATGACAATGTAATAAAATAGTGAAATTATTGTCTAATTACAAAGAGGAGCAAATTGCTAAAATAAAAAGCTTTTGCAGTCTTAAATGTGATGAGTAATTTAGAATTTAAACCTTAATTCAGTCAGTCTGGTGTAGATTAGAGCTATGGCTTAAGGTAACGTATGTATGTCACTCAGTCAGGCCTGCCAATGGGAGTGGAGCAGGCAAAATGGCACAGCTGCCCTAGAGGCATGGCAGTTGAAAAGGGCCCATGGGCTTCTGGCTGCTGCTACCGCTACTGCAGTAGTTATGGCGACCAAGGCTTTAAATAGCTGGTGGAGCGCTACATGGCACACTCTGGGCAGTGCTGAAGGCCCAGCTGGGGAAGGTTAGCTCCAGCTCTGTCCCTTCTGCTCAAGGGCCCAGAGGTGCAGAGCCGGCCCTCCTTCCCATCTTAGACACCCCAAAAAGTCATCGAGTCCAGTCCCCTGTCCTCACGGCAGGACCAAGCACTATCTAGACCATCCCTGATCAGTGTCTATTTAACCTGCTCTTAAATATCTCCAGTGATGGAGATTCCACAACCTCCCTAGGTAACTTATTCCAGTGTTTAACCACCCTGACAGTTAGGAAGTTTTTCCTCATGTCCAACCTAAACCTCCCTTGCTGCAATTTAAGCCCATTGCTTCTTATCCTATCCTCAGAGGCCAAGGAGAACAATTTTTCTCCTTGTAACACCCTTTTAGATACTTGAAAACTGCTATCATGTCCCCTCTCAGTCGTCTCTTTTTTAAACTTGCACAAGGCCCTGCAAGTCTGTTGGCCTCCCAGCACTTGGGGTGTGATTTAGCCATTCCCCTGAGCAACATAAATTAGGCTGACTTAAGCCCCAGTGTAGACAGTGCTGTGTTCATGGGGGAGTTTCTTTTGTTGGCTTAGACTATCCCCATAAGAGAACTGACAGTGGTGCAGTGACTTAGCATAATTCCCCTTGAAAGTGACCTGAAAATCCCATCTTTGATCTTTATTTCCTGACTTCAATCTCATCCCAAGGATCAGGGTTACAAAAAATTAACAATACCCCGTCACTTGGCAGAAATCACTATTCAGTGACTCCAATATGGGCAATAACATAGACTTTCAAAACTGGCTATATTTAACAAAAAATGTTTAGAATAAAATAATTTACACTGCAGCTACATGAAAGATTACTTGTGTCAGATGGTGTCATATCAATTCCATTAAAGTCAAAGAATGATTGAATGTGGATAGCTTTCTTCAGGCCTCATCAAATTCCCATTGAAATTAATGGAAAGACTCATACGTGAATGTAAGGAACATTAGACTGGGGCCTCGTAAGAACATAAGAATGGTCATCTTGGGTCAAATCAATGGTCCACTTATTGTCAGAGGCTTCAGAGTGAATGAACAGAAAAAGGCAATTTCAAGTGATCCATCCTAGTCACCCAGTCCCAGTTTCTGGCAGTTGGCAATGAATGGCCTCCCAGAACATAGGGTTGATGGACCTGCCCTCCATGAACTTTTTTGGAACCCAGCTACACTTTTAAGCCTTCACAGTATGCCCTGGCAAGCAGTTCCAGTTTCTGACTGTTGATTTCATGAAAAACTTCCTTTTGTTTGAATCCTTTGGCCTATTAATTGCTTAGGAGGATCCTTAGTTCTTCTGTTGAAGAGACATGTGAAGTGGCAAACAATCGTTCCATATTCACTTTCTCCATGGCATTCTTGATTACATAGACCCTCTATTATAGTGATCTCTATTCCCTCTGTCCTAACTGATAAGCATCACGTTGGAACTCCTATCAATATAATGACAACTCTCATTATCTTAATGAAGATGAAAGAGCAGCGCTTTTTTCATTTAGAGAGGCTACTAGGATACCCAGCGTATCCAGAGCTGTAAGCATACTGATAATCATTTATGTCCTTTTCACCGTGATCAACACAGTTAGCTTCAGAGTAATGAACTCCTTTTGACTGAAACTTCTCCTGACAGCTTTGGATTTTACAGATCAAGCATGAGTATTTGTTCTCTCTCTCAGGTTCTGCAAATACGAACACACCTGGGAAACCTGGTGTGCTGGTCCTTTCTAAAAGAGCTCATCCTTCCTGGAGGCTGAATTATGAGATAATAACTTAGGGAACATCTACACTGCATCCCTAGTTTGAACAAGGGATGCAAATGGAGACGACCGAAGTACAGGCAGTCCCCGGGTTACGTACAAGATAGGGACTATAGGTTTGTTCTTAAGTTGAATTTGTATGTAAGTCGGAACTGGCTCCAGATTCAGCCGCTGCTGCAACTGACCAGGGGCTGACTACAGGAAGCTGGAGGCAGAA